ATCGCCATAATGACTATATGGGTTACTTGGTCTGCAGTGAACATGCTTCCTCTGCCCCAGCATCTGCTCGTCCAGCAATTCTGTAAAGTAACAATTTCAGTATTTTTACATCAATGGTATCGGTGTGTTTCTCATTGGCATATGGCAGTGCTACAAATCTTTGTGCGAAGTGACTGTACTAACCGATTCTCATTTCAAGATGTCCTTATGGTACTTGCTACAGTGTAGCGGCTCGAGTTAGGCTGGACCCGTTGGCCAGCTTCCCTCAGGGTCATTCCACGGTTGATTACATGGTCCACTATTGTAGCTCTGATGTCATCAGCAATTCTATTTCTTACTCTTCCTACCCTTCCTCTCCCCCCTCCTCATCTTCCTCTCCCCCCTCCTCGTCTTCCTCTTGCTCCTCCTTGTCCTTGTTGTCCTCTTCATCCTACTTCTTCACCTCCACGTCCTCTTCCTCGGCCTCCTCTCACTCTTCCTGCTCCCTCCATTGTACTCCGCACACACAGCTTACCTGTATTATAGTGCTTAGGCTGATTGCAAAGTGAACTAATTATCTAAAAAAGTTTTCACATGTGAAAGTGTGCCAGACAGTTGGCAAATTAGTGTTAATGATAGCCATACATGTGTATACTTTTGCTAGGAGTGTGTTGGAAATTTGGTAATTGAGTGTTGTGCAGTGAATTGTGCCTACAGTTTTGCAAAGTGTGTGTTACAAAATTGCAAACTGAGTGCAAAGCAGTTTTTGTGCTTTTAGTTTTGCCAACTCAGTGAGTGGTTTTGCTATAAGTCTGAATAGTTTTAGAGATTGTGCTACAGGAATCACAGTTAGGGTTTAAGCATTCAGAAAAAACTGTAATACAATGATCCTGATCTGCACCAACATTTAACGACTTCTTCCTTTGACTGAAAACAGAACTTTGATGAAGCTGAACTTGTGAGATTTAGCTTTGGACTCATTCATACATATACGTTAGTGCAAGCTTTTTTCCCAGAGTGCACTTGGGACCTCCAAACAAACAAGACTGAGTGGAAAAACAACATGAGGCCTCACTGAGGATTCACAGATAAAATAACTAAGAACATTTTAAACATTCATTTATTTAAGGTGGTATGATGGCTGTGAGGGGGCCATGTTTCTATAGTTTTCAGCATTAAAGTAAAAAACTTTCTACTTACCTGAGATGATGTGGAAAGTCTCCACAAACTGAGTGCAGCCTCCTCTCTTGATGGCACAGAAGTAAAGCCTGCAGTCCTCTGCTGTCAAGTTTTTAATCATGAGTTTGTTTCCCAGGATTGAAAATTTGGTTTCAAAACCAGGAGAGCAGTAGGTAGAGTCTGCTGAAGAAAAACTGCGGCCGATACATGCTCTGAACTGACTGTGGATCTCCATGTACCAGTATGGGTCTGATGTCTGATTGGAGCAAGTTAGAGTGACATAGGTCCCCAGCTCTCCTCTGACCTCGGTCACGTTCTCGGCCTCTGCACAGAGCAGAAACACCAACAGGATCATCCACAGGAGAACCATGATCAGCTTCAGCATCCACAACAAGACGGAGTCGTCTGAAAGCAGCTCAGCACTGATGGACTCTGACACAGAAGTGCTCTACACTTCCTACTTCAGGTGCTGTTGCTCACAAACCACTAATACCAAGTAAGTCTACAGGAAGTGAAACTTGTTCACCTTCAGCCAGAAATCTGCATCAGAAATTTTATACAGTAACTCTAAAGGAAGTTTGACCGTTACACTTAGACGACAGTGATGTCTTTAAAGTACAGAGGAGCAGAGAATGTACTGACTCATGATCATGTAGTACTAGTAGTAAATGTTGCAGTAGAAATAAAAAAACAGGATTCAAATTGTTGAAACAAATCAAAAGCATAACCAAAGAGCATCCTCACTTTAACATGTCTGAGCTGAAAAAGTGGCTCCATCTTGTGTCTCTAACCAGTTACTGCAGAGAAGAAAACTTCAACATGACAAGAATGCGTACTTTTATACTGCAGTCTGTACTACAGATACTTCTTATTCTCTCTCTAACAGCGGTGAAGCTTCAACTACAGTATGTAGCAGTAGCCTGTGTACTACTACATGACTGCAACATGCACTACGCCCTCTGGCAGTACTGCTTTTATTACAACTGTTTCTCCTTCATTTGCACTACAGCTGTCATCCATATTTAGTTTATACTTCTCTGTTTCCTTTTACTTCATTTTCTACTGTACTTTCTAGTTTTCTATTGTTCTCCTGTAAAACGATGGGTAATAACTTTTGTTATGAGCAGAATTACTACCCCATTACTGCCCCTACTGTCAGCACTGATACTGCAAACTTAACCCTGAAACTGTCTGTCCTTGACTTCAGCCTGGAGATGGTTTCAGTTCTAACACTGTTAGTGAATCTCTCTGTCACCTGATCTGATGGTGTTTAATTGCTGGTTTGTGCTGCTACTCTCAGTCTGATCACTGCGGTCATTATTATTTCAAATATCTTGATAGTTCTCATGTTTTATGCTCAGTAACTTTGCTTTCTGTTCTTCAGTCGCCTTCCAACTGCCTGTGTGAAACACCTGAATTATTTTTTCATGTATAATGTTATACCTGTAATACATGTATGTGGAACAAAAGGGTAAAAAAGGAAGCAGCTTTTATTGCTCTTACACGACACTCCAAACAAAAACAGAAAAATCATAAAGAAACAAACAAAAACTAGAAGCTAGGAAAGGAAAACAAATGAACAAGCAAACTATGACGCTATGAAAACATGGAAACACAGCCTATGGGGACAACACGACAACAAGCAGGGGAGATGAGGACAAAAGATTAACCAGAGGCTCGACAATAGGTGGGGACACAGCTGAACCTAATTACTCACAAAAGGGACAGAGGAAGCAAAAGTGAAGTCAAAGCAAACAGGACAAGAGATTTCCAAAATAAAACAGGAAGCTACACACGCACACTGAGACTCACCCCAAGACACATGAGCTTGACACAAGGACAGGGGAAACGAGACAAACTAGAGAGACAGTGGGATGAGGGACCAGACATGGACACAAGACAGACTAGGGAGACGAGGAGCAAAACACAGAGATGAACATGTGAACAGGGACAGAGACAGACACGGTATGACCGAGAGACTGAAAGAGTAAGAGAAAACACAGAGATGAGGAGACGAGGACAGAGTGGACATGCAGCGACATGAACAACATATATTGAGCTAAAAATGCAAATGATAAAAAGTCAGTATACAAAACTAAAGACCAGCTAATACAGAACTAGAATATGGAAATCTCCTAAATCCAAAAGAACGAGTCACAAAACCAAAATCAACTTTAAAACTGGATCCGAAATATTACAAAATATCTCTAATGTATAAATATTGTGATATTTAACAGAAACATAAAATATATATGAATAAAGTTGGAATTGAGGTTACAATTTCAGGACCATGGAAAGTGCATGGAGTTTTCACCATGATCTGATGATCTGTCTCAAACACATTCTTAGTGTTGGACCTGCACTAATTCAGCTGCCTGCACTTTAACAATGTTTTATTTCTTAAACAAACACAGCAAAGTGCTACTGCTAACACCATCAGGCATTTTATGCGTCGCAGCCCACAAAACTAACCACACTTGCAGTCTTATTTGGACACTGCTATTTTGTCCTAGTAGATATAGTCATATTTACATACACAAAGGAACGTAAACCTGACAGTTACAGCATTGCTAACACAGGTGAGAGTAGAAATATGTAACAACCTCTGAATTTTCTAAACCAAAAATGAATGAATCAAACTGAAAATGTGCACAAACATGGATTGCATGTACTTTAAAGGGTAGTACACGAGTATGGTTTTGCTTCACCTGCAGAAAAAATAAGACTTCCCTGAAACTGACATTTTCTGGAGGACAACATGTTTCTAAACCTGTAGATGTTCAGGATTCCTCTGCCGTGTGCACTAGCATGTCCCACATTACTCAACACTCTGGCTTTGAACTGTCTGCTGATAGTAACTCAGCTTACAAGTGTGTGTGTTCTCCTCTTTGCCCCACATTTCATGCTGGTGCTGTGGGTCTGTCCACTGTGGGGAAACCACACGGTTTGCTGTGAAGCCAGATATCCAAGAAGACACAATATCCATGACTTCCAAAGAATCTCACACTGTGATTGGCCGGAGCATTCAGGGATAGCTCAGTAGGTAGAGTGGTCGCCACATGATCAGAAGGTTGGGGGTTTGAATCCACTGAATGGCTACCCTGAGGTACCCCTGAGCAAGGCACCATCCCTACACACTGCTCCCTGGTGCGCCTGCTTAGTGGCTTCCCACTGCTTCACTGAGTGAATGGGTCAAATGCAGAGAGTAATTTCCCCACGGGGATCAGTGAAGTATACATCATTATTATTATTCGACAGGTTTCCACTTGTACTCATCTTAACAAACTCCGGGTGCTTTGTCAGTGTTTCTGTCTCTCTGTTTGTTTTTTTCATGGTAGAGTTTGAGCTTTGTGTGTGTGTGCAGTGATTATCCACAGAATTAGGTTTGTTTTTAATGCCGTGCTGCCTGAAAACCTCCAACATCCAAGCTCTGCAGTCTGATGCTGGTTGCACAAGTTTGTCTGGATTCTTTGAACCTTCTCATGAAATCATGAACATAGATGATGTAGTTCACTTATTTTTTTAAAATTATTTTTACTTCTTAAATTGTTTAAACTATTTGTTAGTGATGGGCAGTACTGTGCCGAGGCTTCAAAGCTCATAACAAGAAATCCAGAAAGTCTTTTATGAAGTGACGTCATTGATGAAACTGAAGCCTCGCTGGTTCAGAAAGTGGTTCAAGTGTTGGTGTGATTTATGTGCATATACAAAACTCAATGTATGTTGGTTTTTATGTAGTTTCAGTTCTGTTTAAGCTCTGAATGTAAATCAGCAGATTCTGTTTTTGCACACACACATTGTCACATAGTAAAAAAGCACAACATGACACATTACGCTGTCTCATTATTTATTTAACAAAAGCTAAACCAACTGTTAAGCCCAGCCTTACTGTTTCCATAGGAATAAACAGGATTTGTAGCACCCAGGTGCACATCAGTAACTGATCATCAGTGAGCGTGAGCAGCTCTATAAAAGCAGCATTGTTGGCAGGTTGCAGGTCTGGAGCGTTCAGGTGTTTGTTAACACAACGCAATGATCTTCTAAATTGATTGAATTGAAAAAAAAAAATAAAAAATAAAAACTACATCTCACACTCTACTTGATCTATTTATGACTTTTTTAAATTTAATTTTCAGTCTCTGGTAGTTTTACAATTTATATTGTTTTTATTTTTTTTTTAATCTCAAGATTTTCAGACACGGCCTTTTATTGTCCAACATGTTTCATTGTAACGTTCACACTGTCTTCACTATAATGTGATGAATGAAAGTGAACTGTACACATATTTACAGGTTTTTACAGCAGCCTCTGGGTCTGGTTTATCCATCTGAAGTTCTGAACCACTTTAAAAAAGGTTTGGCAAAAAGTTGTGAAATCTGAATCCAGCAGGTATCATCCACCTGTCCAGGTGTGTCTGTCAGCTTTGAGGCAATGTGAAGCAAGGCAGGTGAAGTTTGTAGTAAATGCCCTCTGATGGAGGAGCAGCAGATCGAGGCGGGGGCTGGATCTCCTTCTTCTGAAACACAACAGCAGCACTGAGTACAAACAAAGTAGCACAGAAGGAGAACAATGGGCATGAGCTGCAGGGTCACCTGTACACGTTAGGGCCTTTCCCACTACTAACACTCGGCTTTGCTTGACTCGACTTGGTTTTTAGGTACATAATTTTCCATTAGGTGGTAGTACCTGATACCAGGTACTAAAAAAAGTAGCTGGTTCCAGTTCCTTGTTTTAGAACCTGCTGAGTTTCAAGGGATCTGAGGCGACATGCAACATCAATAGACTCCATGCCACCGATTGGCTAGTTAGTGGCATCATTTAACGAGTAATGAGAGCGAATTCTTCAAAAACTAAACAGCATTTTTGTGTTACTATCGCGTACAAGTGATGTCACAGGATTCGCTACTCAATTGTACCAAACTGACCCAAACTGGGTCGAGTTGTGTAGATACTAGTAGAAAAGTCTGAGTTACCTGTGGAGCCTCCAGCCTCTCACTGGTCCCAGCTGGAGGGAGGTTTGCCTGATACTTGCTGATTCTCCTCTTCAGAGACAGCGATACACAACTGAGACCTGCCAACAGACCATCAGAGGAGTGACATCACCTTCACACTCACATCAGCACTCATCACATACAACACATTTCAGGAAGCACAGTCAGCTGCTCCTCCCAACAATGTGACACCTAATGAGTGCATAAAGGTTCCTTCCTCTCACTCCTTCCAGCAGAGCTTTGTATCATTCACAGTTCAAACTAATCCTTCTTTATCTCATCCTGGACAATAACGCACTCTGAAAATGTTTTTGTTTTTCCTAACAAACTGCTGACTTTAAATAATTAAATTACATGTAAATTTTCTTTTTAATTGTGTTACACAAGTGCAATGTAAAACATTTCATGTAATGGAAACTGGTAAAACTGATATACAAGTTTTTATAAAGCACTTTTTTCATTAAAGTCAACTATTTGAATAAATAAACCTTTGATTTGACATATGTTACTTAAACTTATTGCTTCATGTTTAGTGAAGGTGAAAAATCTTTTTTCTGAGTTCAGCTTCTTAGTTCAGTTTTTGTCATGATCCTGAGTGTGACCCAGTGTTTTGTGTTTAATTTATATTTGGTGATTATTGTTATTCATGGTTTTAGTTCTTTTGAGGTTATATTTTGTTGTTCTGGTTTCTATTTTCAGTTTCTTTACATTCTCTGTGTCCCACGTCTGGTTACTTGTTGTCTCTGTGCTTCATGTTACTTCTGTTTCCAGACCTGTCATGTTTCCACGTCTTAGTATCTACTCTGCATCTTTGTGAATTGTCTCATGCTTCCTGTTTTACTTTGGTAGTCCTCGTCTTATGTAAACTTTTTTACATTTTCTTCCTTTGGTCTCATCATGTTTGATTACTCCTGGCTGTGCTCTCCTCCTGTGTCTCATTCCCTCGTTATCACTCTGTGTATTTTAGCCCTGTGTTCCTTTTTGCCAGTGTTGCATTGTGCCCTCACTGTGCTGGTCCTCCCCTCCAACACCCGTGCTCTCTGAGTTTGGACATGCTGCACTTTCGGTTCACACTGATCATTTTACAAAGGTTTACGTCATTCATTAAACTTTTCACATTTACTGTGAACATCTGGTTTCCTGCAGCAAAAGCAGAATTTAAGACCCTTTTAATGGACTTATCTCAACAAAAACAAACAAAAGAACAAATTAAAATCCTTGAAGTAACCTTGAGAGCTGCATTTGTACAACACAGATTTTATTCTGTAAAATTTTATAAAAATTAGTTTAGATGTTTGCATCCAAACATGTTTTACTCAAATGATAAAATAACAAACACAGAAATAAAAACAGCTTCATTAATGAGCAGGCGGTTTGATTGCTGTTCTGTAACATGATCTAATGGTTGCACACTGTGGAGACATGGTGGTACTAGCAGAAGAGCAGAGACACCAAAGCTTCAGACAAAGTAACAGACTCACAGATCACCACAAGAACGAGTGCAGCGTTCAGGCTCAGAGAGCTCAGGATGAAAAGCTCACTCTGCTGGTTGCTGTCAGTGAGTGCGACAGGTTTTTGAGTTACATCTGAAAAGAAAAGGGAGACAGATTTATGAACAAGTGTGTGAAACATGTTTTACATGTCTGAGGACTTTTCAGCTGATAGTTTAAGAAGTTTGAACTGGCCCAGCTGTGAATACTTTTTAACCTTGTTTTTTAACCTTTATAATTCACACTTTAACTTTTGAATTTGCCACTCCTGTGTAAGAAAAATGCATTGGTGGTCGCTTAAATCACTTGTCTCAAAACTGACATCAGACAAAGCTCACAACCCGCCCACTTGTCTTCACTAAAGGTTAGCGTATCTGTTGCTGCTACAAGAGGGTGTATTTTGCTGACATTCATTGGCCTCTGGTTTCCACATCACTGTTGGTTTCCTACTGTATCATTTTGAGGCATTAGACAGCTATTTCATAGAAATTCACAGCAATCAAATTGAGGGTTACATAAAGGTTGTGTTTTATACAATTTTAAACAAGGTGGATGTTCATTGTTCCATTAGCCCACTCCTGTGTTACTTATAGAGTTTCTTCAAGCTCAGCTGAGTTCATTGATACCCATGTAGTCTGAGACTGTTTGGACCTTTATTTTGTTATGTTGCTCTTCAGACTAGTCTAGTCTTTTTTTACACCTTAAATAGGAAATGTGCTGCATTTCTCTGTCAGACTCACATCAGAGGTGTAAAAAGAAGAAAACCACAATGTTACTGCCAGACCTATATACTTTTGACATATTTAACTGACAGGGGGGCATTCTGACACCACATCCTCTAAAAAAGTCAATGCAAAAATGTTAACTAGTCAGTTACCTGAAATAAGATGGAAAGTCTCCACAAACTGAGTGCTGCCTCCTCTCTTGATGCCACAGAAGTAAAGCCTGCAGTCCTCTGCTGTCAAGTTTTTAATCACGAGTTTGTTTCCCAGAATTGAAAATTTGGTTTCAAAACCAGGAGAGTAGTAGGTAGAGTCTGCTGAAGAAAAACTGCGGCCGATACCTGCTCTGAACTGACTGTGGATCTCCATGTACCAGTATCTGTCTGATGTCTGATTGGAGCAGGTTAGAGTGACATTGGTCCCCAGCTCTCCTCTGACCTCGGTCATGTTCTCGGCCTCTGCACAGAGCAGAAACACCAACAGGATCATCCACAGGAGAACCATGATCAGCTTCAGCATCCACAACAAGACGGAGTCGTCTGAAAGCAGCTCAGCTCTGATGGAGTCTGACACAGAAGTGCTCGGTACTTCCTACTTCAGGCACTGATTATCTTGTGTGCAACACCTTCATACAAACCACAAATACCTAGAAACTCTACAGGAAGTGAAACTCCTTCACATCCAGCCTAACGTCTGCAGCATTGACTTTACCTTGTGCAATCACCATTTCATGTATTAAATTGATCTGGCCTAATTATACAGTTACAATGCACATATATATTTGGAGTGTGGTGGGGGGCAGCTTAGAGAGGTAGCTGTGTGTTATGAAGAGATAAAGAGTCTGATTAATCCTGCTGCCCTGACCTCTAAAGATAGTACTAGTAATACATGTTTTAGCAGAAGTAACAGCAGAAGCTACATCAATGTAAATTCTGAAACACTGAACAGCAGAGCTGATGGTCATCATTGGTCGAGCATGTTGATGAGCTGATCAGGTGGCTCCATCTTGTGTCTTCAAGCTGTTATAGCAGAAAAACACAAATATTGAAATATCTAGAACTCTCATAGTACTCATATTACAGTTTTTTCTGATTGCTTAAGCACATTTTTTGTAACTATTGGCTAATTTTGCAAAACTCTTCACACAAATAAGAAAACCTGTCACCCAATAATCAAAACATTGTAGTTCTCTTGCAAAAGCAAACACAGCCAGATTAACTCTTCACACCTTCGTAAAAATGGTGTTTCCGTATCAAACAGTACACACAAGCCATCATCTACTAAGCACACAATGCACCAACTGCACAC